GTATAGAAACCTCCCTTTAAAACTTTTTTTCTCCTTTTGTAAAGAGTCAAAAGGGTTAAGACCCCTTCAGATGTTTGATTTCATCTACACTATATTGCCAAAAGTTTTGGGACACCCCTCCAAATCACTGGATTCAGGTGTTCCAATCACCTCCATGACCACAGGTGTATAAAATCAAGCACCTCGGCATGCAGACGCTTCTACAAACATTTGGGAAAGAATGGGTCGCTCTTAGGAGCTCAGTGAATTCAAGCCTGGTACCGTGATAGGTTGTCACCTGTGCAATAAGTCCATCCGTGACATTTCCTTGCTGCTAAATATTCCACGGTCACCTGTTTGCACCAGTGCACAAAGCAATGTCCATAAAGACATGGATGGGTGTGTTTGGGGTGGAGGAACTTGACTGGCCTGCAGAGTCCTGACCTCAACCGGATAGAACACCTTTGGGATGAATTGGAGTGGAGGCTGTGAGCCCGGCCTTCTCGTCCAACATCAGTACCTGACCTCTCAAATGGTCCAACATTCCCATAGACACACTCCTAAACCTTGTGGACGCCTTCCCAGAAGAGTTGACGCTGTTATAGCGGCAAAGGGCGGAGCCAACCCAATACTGAACCCTACAGACTAAGACTGGGATGCCGTTAATGCAGTGGTGGACCTAAGGAACAAAGGGCCCTGGTGGCAGAAAAATTGCAGTATTGCTCTCACTGCGATGTTCGAGGCGATATGTAACATGTGCAGCACAATTGTTGTTTTTCGCACTTAGGTGCTCCGACGCGTGTGTGTATCTGGGGGGCGGGGGACTTAAAAAAAATTTTTTTTCCCCCATGTACTTTCATTTTTAAACACTTTTTTTTTTTGTACACTAACCCTATTGGTATTGCATAGGGGACTAACAAGCACCCTGTGTAATAGCAGATAGGGTGTGACAGGTCCTCTTCATGGAGGCATCAGGGGTCTTTTAGACCCCTAAAGTCACCTAGAGACCCCAAACAAGCTGAGGAAGCCGAGATCTGCTTTCTTAGCTTCTTGTCCTGGCTCTGAGAGCCGGAGACTGTGTACAGTGACACCGGAAGTGATGTAATACACAGCACTTCCGCGTCCAGTGATCGGAGGAGAGATCAGCAGCTGGAAGCGGCTGAATCTCTCTCTGATCATTGCAGGGAGACCCACCGACTGCGGGGGTACCACACGGTACAAACGATCCGGCCGCTGTTCAGACACCAGATCGATTGTAAGTTACACAGCAATCGCCTGCTGTTAAAAACAGTACCAAGAGCACGGCTGCCGGAGCAGCCGTGTTCTTGTTTTACCCACTTCTGCAGGCCGCCGTCTATAGACATACTGCGGCCCGGAAGTAGTTAAAGTGACATTAAAATAAATGTGTCCCCCTCCTCCCAATGTAAATGCCAGCACTTACCTGAAGTTCTGAATCCTGACTTTTCTTGCAAGTCAAGCTTAGCCCCACACTTTGCTTTTGGTTAGTGACTCCACCTATCATATTAAAAGATGAATACGGAGGCATAGTGGCAGGACTAAGTGGAGCGAAGCTTGATTTTTACAGAAAAGTCACTCGCATACATCTGTTGCCCTCATCTCTGATCTCTTTGTTGTGTGGTTCGCACTGGAGGGGACCTCAGATTATAATTTTTTCCTTCATATGTTCAGTCTTGGTTGCTCACGTTTGTGACAGCCGTATTTTAAAAAGTATATTTCAATACACACCACAATCTTTTCACACAATACAATATTACAGGGAAACTTCCACCATGTATTGTACATATTAACTAAATGGTGCTATAAAGAAATGGGTGAAATAATCATCTGTCAATATTATATTCTGCAGCTTTGGATATGTCCCTGGCTACACATCTAGATCGGTTCCTCATCACCTCCTCTGTCCAGCAGTACAAGGTGTTGTAAAGCTATAGCAGTCACTTCCTACCACATTCATTTACTGGTTTGTGGAAGTCCACAGACCCCTATCTAGTAAAACTGCATGTTTCAGTAGATGGAGTTATCAGCCAGAAGGGGAAGGCAGGTCTCAGAAGAGGTTCTTTTATCCCCTAAATTACAAGACGCACAGTTACCATTTAAATTTGTATTACACGGAGAAGCATCGGGAGACTAAAATGTACTTTTTACAACAGTTTGAGCCGGTGTGTGAGACTGCAGCTGTCACATGCCGGCTCTAAAGCTTAAGATCTGAGTCATCACAAACCACTGATCCCTCAGTGCACAGCTTGTCCCTGCAGACAGCGGTGACTGTCAATCACTGCTCCCCTCTCTCTGTTCCTCCAGTGCTTTTTGGAAGGACAGACAGGGGAGGGGGTGAGCCAGATGTCAATCAGGCAGTGAGGTGGATCCCGACAATATTGTCAGGATCTTTCCTGGCTGCAGCATGGCTCTGCGCTGTCAGCATACAGCGGGCAGTAACCTACTAGATGCTGACTTCGGGTTACAGGAGCACATTAGTAAATGTCCTCCTGTGACCCAAAAGAGAACTAAAGCCAAAAAAAGGTTTTGCTATAGTTCCTGATTAAAGTTTAATAAAATCCAGTTTTTAATGCACACAGTTGAAAGTGTGATGAAGTTACAGTCTACTAATTTTGTTTTCTTTATTCTCTTTTATAGTCTAATTTCAGCCAAAAGTCTTTTTTTTTTGTTAGTGAGGAGAGTTAGGACCTCTGTATGGTTGTGTCATTGGGGAGATTTCCCATCGCTTTCCATCGTATTTCTGGGATAAAAAGGGAAGGAAAATATCCCCAAATGGGACAGGAACAGCAATTAAACATAGACCCAAGTCCTAACCCTTCTACCATCAATAAAAAAAATTAACAAAAAGAAATAATTGACTTTAAAGAAACCCTTGAAGTGACTGTAGTTCTAAAGTGCACTCCAATCCAGATGGCACCGTGCAGGAATCACAAGTGGAAGAGAAGTCACAAGCATTCCACAACATAGTCACTATACTACCCTGAGGACTATTTCACGTTTTATGGACTGCTGGTGACTTCTCTTCCACTTTTAAAAGAGACCCTGTCACATAAAAATAAATACTTTCACGAAAGCCAGAACCTGTAAAGAAAAGGCTGATTAAATATCTCCTGCCACCGCTGCAGGGAAGTGTCCCCTAAGGTAACTTCCATGAATTTCAATCTTCATTATCCCCCACAGCTTTCACTGGTTCCTCCCTCTGACTTCAGGTAACTACTAGGGATGCACCGATACTGATCTTTCGCTATCGAGTACCGTTTTGTTTTTTGTACTCGCCTATACCGGAAGTCAGGCAGCGTGTAATGACTCGCCATCCAGCTTCCTGATTTGCCGGGAAGCCGTCGCCATGCTCCACAGTCACCAGGTGATGAGGAAGCATGGAGCCGGCTTTCTGGCCAATCAGGAAGCCGAGGGGCAGGTAATGACTCGCAATTGCAGAAACGTCACCAGCACACCAAATCCTTATAGGATCAAAGTTCGTAGATTTTGATCCTATAAGGATTTGGTGTGCTGGTGACGTTTCTGCAATTATCTGTATTTGGCGGCGCCCTCCGCAGTCATTCCGAGCACCCCTCCCCGATCACGGGGTCATACCGGTAAGGAGTGCAACTAGCCTTTTCTTTTTTCTAGGTAATGACTCGCCACCCGGCTTCCTGATTTGCCAGCTACCTGACCAATCAGGAAGGCAGGCTGCGTGTAATGCATTGTCGCCTGGCTTCCTGATTGGCAAGAAACCCAGCTCCATTCTCCCTCATCACCAAGTGATAGGTATCGGTGCATCCCTAGTAACTACTGTATCCTCCACTGCAGTTCTTTGCAGCAGCATCGCATTTACTTTTGCAAGCGGCAGGAGAGGCAACGTATTCAGCCTCTTTAACGGTATGTGCATTCCTGAAAATGTTTTATCATGTGATTGTTTAAACCCACCAGGCTTCTGTAGGCTCTCACCAAAATCACAGCCACTAACCCAACATTTGTCGCTTAATGACAAAATGCAGAAAACTTTTTTTGTTTGGAGGTCTCTCAATACCAGACTTTTACTCAAGCTAACCAAACCAACAGCAAACGTTCACCAAAATTTTTATAAATTATGCATCTATCCACCCAGAGTCTTGAATGTTTTTCACTTTAACTTTTTTGATAAAATATGTATACCATAAAAGGAAAAACAATGACAAAAGGAAAAAAAAAAAAAGGCCTTTCAAAGACTCCTTAATAATCTCTGGTTTACAGACAATCTTGTACTATGGGGGAGTCTCATCAAACAGTCAGTAGTCATAGGAAGGAGTCGGGAGCAAGAAAGGTTAAAAAGGTTTTTCATTCTTCCATGGGCTTTTCTGTAACCATAGACTACTGCAATCCTTCCTCCTGCCATAGTCGGCATACTTTTCAGTGGTGCAAAAAAAAGATGGCAGAGTATTCATACAAGAAGGGGCTCCTCTTGATAGGATGCAAAACCATTGATTTGCACTGCTATGGTGAAAACACACTGTTGGAAGCATTTTAGAAAACGGTCCAGTTCTTTATAGCATTTAGAAAACGATCCAGCTCATTGTAATGATGGTCAATCTCTGTCACATCGTGTACAAGGTTAAGGATACCACGCAGAAAGCATAAAGGAAAACACAAACTATCACCTGAGCGAGCAGACACTCCTACCCGTGTATTGTGCCCAGGTTTCTTGGGTATGAGCATCCATTATAAAAAAAACCACTTCAAGAAGTTTTAGGAGAGGGACCGAAACCGTTCTGAATTTATGGAAAAAGGAAAAAAAAAAAAAAATAGGTGAAGCCGTCAATGCTTTGCTAAGCTACGGAGTCCAACCTGCAAAAAGGGTCCAAAACCAGCCCAGGGCTTGGTTGCGGTGTCGTGACTGGGTTTCTCAAACCGACCACTGGATTCAGCCCATGTGTGAAGCCTTCCCATCTAAAGAACACGCGGTGCAGAAGGGGGGGCTACCTAACACGAGCGGCTCTACAGACGCAGGTAGAGGATGGTATTCTTAGAGCTACAGAAAAGAGGAGCTGCCAAAGTCCACATCAGAAGGGTCCATGATGCTAGCTGACTTCTTGTTTCACTTCGATGCCGGGCATAGGGAACCCTGGGGGGCAACTCAGGCTGGGAAGGCAGGGCAGACAAGGTCCCTGGATTCTCTTGCGAGTACAGTTCGTGCAGATGTAATCTTCATTTTCTGCCATCTCGCAAGAGACGCCGACGCAGACCTGATGGAACCATTCGTCGCAGCCGCCATCGCACTGTACCCAGTCAACCTGCAGAAAGGAAAGGGAGATGTAAACTGGGGGGACATATATTGGAACAACATACAGGTGGAGATGCTAGAGAAAGGTTGCACTACAGGGCAGGGGGAGAGAAAGCAGTGGTAAAAAAAAAATGTAACAGGGCTCAGTATAGGGTTAGTTCACCTTCAATAGTTAAAAAAAACAAAAAAACATCTGCAGCGATTAAACCTACTACCAATGCAAATCAACATCCAAATTCATATTCCTGAACACATTATTTACCCCTCCGTTCTGACACAGTGCATTTTAGTGTTGCATTCAAAAGCTGCACTCCTGCATCTGTTTTTCTGGCTATACACACGTTTAGGCGCTGTAGTTCGGTGCCTGGGATTAAAATAGATAACCCCGAATGCATTGTGCTTGACAGTATGCTTGCAAAGAAGGGGCGGGGTAAGAACGTGAACTAGGTTTTCACTTCACACTCTGTGGAACATATGGAACATATTTAAAGTCCGGTACCCCAAAGCAAGGATCTATCATTGCTCCGAATTGAACGACGTTACAGGAATGGGATGGTACATAAATATACGCCAATTCAAAGCAGGCTCTAAATAGAATCATCTTAAAGGAGAATTATGGGGTGACTGAAAAACTCATTTGAGAGCCGTGACTGTCACTTACGGCTCCCTGCAGGGATTCCCCCCCCCCCCTCTCCGATCCTCCAGCGCTGACTGAAGGAACAGACGGGAGAGGGGGCAGGTACAGATGGCTCTGTTTCTAGATAAGCAGAGCCAGCTGTCATTCAGCCAGCTGGGTGGATCTCAACAGTATTTTGGGGATCCGCCCCAGCTGCGGAGCTCTCAGTATATAGCGGGCAATAGCTTGCTATATACCTAGCTTTGGGTAACATGCAAACATTAAGGAGCAGTGCGATGATGCCAGTTCTTGGCGGTGGAAGCCGAAAACTTGCAATATTGAAAAGTGGTGACAACTACTTGCCTTATGAAGCTTGGCGGAGGTGTTACAACTGTGAGCTAGTTGAAAAGAATTGCAGATACAGAGAAAACACTGCCTCTAATCTGCTGTATTTTGCAAAGACAACTATTGTCAAAATTTGGCTTTATACTATAGTGTTTTAACTATAGAGAAGACGGAGGGCAGTATGCACCTGTGCTACACAAGAAAAGAACACATTGGCATTAACTCTTTTCTAGCTCGTATACCGTGCAGTGGCCCGCATGGTACGCAGCAGCTCATGAGAAGCTGGTCTATTCTGGAAGAGGATTACTTTTTGAGGGAAATCCTGCAAAGAAGGAATGAAATGCAGATTTTCTTCCCACGAGACCAGAGAACAGAAGCCACTTGTTACTAAACAGAACGGCTTGCGACTGCAGTACAAAAAAAACAGTGAACTAGCAAGTAAGCCAACTTTTAACACTAAAGCTTAACTCCATACATTTTCTCACCAAGGTGAAGTCTATGCTCCAGCCCTGTCCCCACATCCTCCCTGCTGGCTGTGCTCCTCTTCAGGGTTAAATGACTCCTAAAGTCATTCGACCCACACCCCCCCGCAAGTTTCTTTTTTTTTTTTCAGGATACTTTAAAAGGAGAGTATGGGCAGAGTAAAATACACTCATCCCCCATAATTATGTGTGACACTGAAGCTGTCACATGTCGGCTTTACAGATTAAATGATGCGCGATCACATACCGCTGATCGCCGACTTTCTGATCTTCTCCCTGCAGAGAGTGGTGACTCTCAGTCACCTCTCCCTGAATGGATTCCCCCCTCTAGAGAGATAGAGCCAGATGTCAATCAGATGGCGGGGTGGATCCCGACAATATTGTCGGGATCTTTCCTGGCCGCAGCACGGCCCTGCGCTGTCAGCATATAGCATAATATTGCCCGCTATGTGATGAGTTTTGGGTCAAAGGAGAACATAGTAAATGTCCTCCTGTGACCCCAAAGAGAAATATGACCAAGAAAGGTTGGGCCATAGTTCTCTGTTAAGCCAGTAACCTCCTGGGTCCTCTTCCACATTAGATCTACTTTGGTGGTAATGATATGATGTAGTCAGGGTCATTACACTGCACGTACAGGGTGTCGGGGGCAGGACAATAAAGCCCTGCACTCACAGTATATCCGCTGGGTGCCATTCAATCAGGAATTTTGTGGTGAAAAATGACTTACTGCAGAGGGGCCACAGTGCCAGAGAGGTAGCTGGAGCTATTACGGATGGAGCTGCTTTTTTTAAGCAGCTAGAGGACCTTACAAAAAAAACAAACAACCAACCCATAATTGGGCTTTAAAGTGGGGAGAGGTTCTGGGATGGCTCAAACTAAAATTGGGCTTTAAATGCGATAAGGAATTTCCAGGGTGGTGCCTAACTTGGGTTTGGGCTTTACCATTGGTAGTGACACTATTCTGAGGAAGGTTCAGTAGCTACACAGCAACAAAACAGTCAGCTAAATAAGAGGGGTCAAAGCACAGCAAAGCCAACAATGTACTGTATCAGAGCTCCTGTAAAAAATAGAAAATCCCTTTAAGGCAAAATATCACACATAGGAAAGACACGTGGTCATCAGACAATATAAACAAATGTGAATGGGACATTCTGAAAACTCCATGTGCCCTGCCACCTGGGCAGCTCCCTCACCTTGTCCTTGCATGGGCGCTGGCAGTTCTGTGCAGCACATATGGCGTTCTCATCGTCTGAATCTTCCGCCCCAGACCAGTCGTACTTCGAGGGGATGTCCAAGACCTTCTTCTCCCTCTTCTTCTCAGTAAGCTCCTTGTTAAGCTCGGCTTTGGCCGCAGCAGCCTTCTCTCTCTTCCTCTTGCGCTCCTCCTCTTTGGCAAGCCTTTTGGCCAGTTTGCTGAGCTCCTTGGCCTTGTCGTGACCCAATTTCAGCTTTTTCTTTTTGGTTTTGTCCAGCTTCTTCAGCTCCTTGGACCTCTGTTTGCCCTCGGATAACAGGTGCTCTGCCCTCTCCAATTTCCTCTTGCGTTTCTTCTCCGATGACTCTTTCTTTACCTTCACAGGCCTCTCGTCCAGGCTATCATCCTGTAGGAAGACAACATTGGTTTAAAAAAGCAACTCAAAGTGACAAGAGAAACTGATCAGCTGTCAGAACCATACAGGAAAACTTCCTTTGTAGCTAGGCTGAAATGAGAATGCGGATAGATGGGACTACGGCCTCCTGCCTGTTATCCCACACCATGGAACTGCGATCCTAAGCAATGCTATGAAAAATGCATAGGTATAAATTACTCTTGCTAAATCCCCATGCTTTTGCAGGCGCCCTTGAAACCAATTTATGGGTCTGAGGGAACCCCTGCTAAAAATGTAATCTATGGTCCATGGTACATCAGTGTGGTCAGTAACTTGTACACATAATAACAAAGGAAAAAGTAATTTGGTGCTGGTAATGATGTTCTAGCATATCTGACACCCAGAGCAAAATTATTATTTTATTACCCCACGCCAATAAACAAAAACTTTACTGACAAGAAAATAAACAAACAGTCAGTGAAAATTGTAGCATCCCTTTATATTTTTGGTCCTCAGAAGGAATATGCCCCTCTAACATTAGAGGTCAGTGGAAAAGTGCCCCTATACAAAAGGTGCTCAGGTTTCAAAGTACCCTAGTACATTGGAATTCAGAATAAATGGTTTCCTTTACATTGGTGGTCAGTAGGAGACATTTTTAACAATTATGTCCGAGTATATTATGTTTTTATGTTTAAATTGGTGGTCAGTAAAAGGAATGTCCTTTTATAAGGGTGGACGTTGTAGTGCTGTTGGGACTGGAACTATGCAGGCAACATCAGATGGAAAATCAATCTATCCTCAAGGAACCCCTAAGTAATCTCTGAAGTAACCCCAGGGTTCCACAGAACCCTAGCTGTGAAAGGCTGGTCTAGAGGGACACTTGACGGACGGAGTTGGGAAATTATGACCTGTAAAAACACTGTTCCCAAAACAAATGGTTGTCCAAAGGAGAGCACACAATGCTGTGCTCAATACAATTCATTTTCCAGGGCTAGTAATTTATGTCCTCTGAAATTCCACACTATTTTTGAACCTAATTGGATTATCCCTTCAACACTCTAAAAACAAGTAAAGAAAGAAAAAACAATGCAAATCCCTTGCCAAAAATGACCAACCATAACAACTTTTGCTGAATGCCCAGTACCTCCATAACATGCAGGAACCTCTCCTCAGAAGGAGGATGCGTGGCCTGCAAAATCCTCCATATATGTTGTGTCTCATCCAGTGACACCTCCAGAAGGTCCCCCAACATCATAAGTTCTTCCAGTTGGCTTTTAGCTCCGGGAGACAGCTCTAGAACGGGAGGCTCCAGGCTACGGGGCACAAGAGGGGTCTTCCGGGGCTGTTTCCGAGGGGTTCCTGTAGCTTAGAGAGAAAAACAACATTAGCATGGTGATCTAATCTTTTTTGTATTCAATTGAGCAGAGAATTGTTCAGACCCCCTTTTTCACATAAACAGACAGAAGTAAAAAGCTGCCATGATTTCTAACACTTATACACTTAAGACTTTAAGAAACATCAAAATTTATGGTACAGCTACACCTTAAAGCGGAACTAAACTCTCACCTACAAGACATGCCTTTGGTGCTGTCTCAGTTGCCAGTGTGCTCTGCGAATCAGACAAGGTAACCGCATGAGTGAAGGAAAGGCATACATCAGTGTGTACTGATCCCACAGAGCTACCAAGGCATCCACCGTATCCATGGCAACAAGGGCGCCGTGCAGCCGACACCGCTCGTCCTGGGGGCGGCTTCTCTCCCCCTCACCGCTGGCCATCGGATATGACAGCGATCCCTCGTCTGCCCCCGCCCCCCCCTGCCTGCTGTCAGGATGGCGGAGCGGTGAGGGGGAGAGAAGCCGCGCCCGCAGCTGTCAGGATTGCTGAGTTTGATTTTAAAAAAGTGAAAACAGCCCCCCCACACACAAACTTATTATTAGACATGTGCAAAGACTAAAAATTCATTTCAGATGAAATGAACAAAAACTAAAAAAGTTTTCATTCGTTTCATCAAACCAAACACTTTTTTATGCTATTTTGGATTCAGCCATTGGCGTGTTCTGGAGGCGGGGTGCATGACATCATATAACACCACACGTGTTGGGCGCCGCCATCTTGGTGTATATCTAGGTATACACCAAGATACATGACGCATGCATGGCGTCATGTAACGTCATGCTCCCTGCCTCCAAGATGGTGGTACGCATTCAGAGAACACGCCAACATGGCCGCTGCACATTCTCTAACAAATTAGTATGTGCCTGAATATATTTTTTGTATATTCGGGCAAATAGTAATTCATTAATTTTACATGTAGTCTGGGTTTTGTGTTCTGTTTTCTATTTTTACTTTTCTAGATGCACTTACTTGAAAAAAGGGATCGGCATGACAACCTGACACTTTATTTTTATAGACTCTATTGTAGTTTGACATTTATTGTTTGCCTTCTGTTGTTTTATTTGATTAGAATACTTATATTGTGCCTATAAGTTTAATACCTTTGAATAAAAGTTTTATTTTTAGCATACTTTTTAATATGTTTCTTTGCGGCTTAACAAAATAGGAGTCTTTAAATGGTGCGGATATTGGTGGAAATGGGTGTGGTCACTGAGGGGCGCTGTAAAGCTTTCTCGCACAGGGCGCCTAAAGGCCTAAGGCTGGCCCTGGTTAGATCCCTTGTTCTGTATACAAATCTGTCCACCTTCTTGTTGTGACGAGAAGCTAAAAGATCCACATCAGGCATCCCCAGTGCTGACAAAGTTGTTAAAACCAGCTGAACACTGTTAAAAAACATGAAGCCCCAGAAGAAATAGGACAAGCTAAGCCGAAACTCCCGCAGCACTGAATAAGAAGCCGCTATACCAATCTCTGAAGACGGACTGCGCGTGCGCACGCAGGTGCAGAAGAAAAGATATATGCGTCATCAATTTTTACATACTTAGTCAGGTTAAAAAAAAAACACACAAGTCCATAGAGTTCAACCTTTTCATTTTAAATGTTTAGTCCCGGCCTCTTGAAGAGATGGCGGGAAGTTCAAATAAAAATAATCAAACTCCACTTATATAGCATTAAAGCTAAACAGGAGACATTACACGTAAAACCACACAGCTAGACCATAGTGAAATGGAGGGAAACATCCATCCCCATGAATCCACCTCCTGTAAATATACATAGGTTTTTTACTCACGACTCCAGGATCCTGCTCCCAACATAGTAACATGAATCCAAAGATAATACTGGCCTGACCATTAAATGATGAAAACAGGAAACATAAAAGGCAGGAACACAGGACCATCGCAGGACGACGTATAAGTACTGAGATCAGAAACGACCTGCTTCAGGACAACTAGAGAAACTTCCAGGCTTTAACATTATCTGGCTTGAATCAGCTAGCAGCTCCCAATATCCGAAGCTCAGCAAACAAACAATACAAACTAAAATAATAAAGCAGGAGAACACATCAATTCTCCTGAGGACACCAAGCGAAAATGGGAGGTGGGAGGGGTTATGTCAATTAAAGTGGCAGGCTTTTGAACTTTTGCCTAGTTTTTAATTCTCCTGGAGGCTGCAACATAACCCTACGTCTGAGAATTCTTCAGAACGGTGTCCTTCAAAAGGACGATAGAGAAATCAAGGATCTACAAACCATCTAGACATAGGATCCAAGAAATTCCACAGGGATTAGTTACCACAAGCACTTCAGAACTGTTTTCATCTTGCCCGATACGTTTAAAAATTGGATCAGTCACTTTATTTTAAAAAAACACCAACATCAAAAGGCAATTTCAGCCTTTAACCCAACAGCTGCTAAAGAACCACAAGTCGCAAAAAGCCCAGCCAACCTCTGGGACTTGCGTTCCCCAGAAGTAAAACAGGCTGTTTTGCTATGACATGACGTCATCCATACTCACCTTGTATGCAGCTCTTAGAAGCAGAGGAGTATGCGTGTTCTGAACAGAATGAAGGGGCGGCCCACATGTGGCTGACCACTTCCTCTGATTTAATAGGTATCTCTTCATCACAGAACAGGTTGGGTTCCAGGCTGCTTGTAGACTTAACACTACCAGTCTCCTAGGAAAAAAAGAAAAATTGTGTTTACTGAAAGCAGAATTTCAGCAACAAATATCAAGATAAAATGAATATCCCATTAAATGATAAAATAACAAAACCAGCCCTTTCTACAGTATTTAGCTTTAATCCAGAGATCCCCTCCAAACTCCTTTTTTCTGCCACAAGATGTCCTCAGTCTGGTGGTTAGCATCAATCAACCCACTTCTTTTGAGCTTGGGTCATAGCTTTCATGTATGTTGGAGCCGACGTGTGACAATAAAACTGTCACACATCGGCTCAATAGATCGGGAAGTGAGCAAACGCATGCCGTCGCTCGCTGTCTTCCCGATCATCTCCCTGCAGAGAGCAGCAACTGTCAGTCGCCACTCCCCGCAGGGATTCCCCTCCTCCCCTATCCTCCAGTGCTGACTGGCGGAACAGACGTGGGAGGGGACAGGCACAGCTGGCTCTGCCTCTAGATAGGCAGAGCCTGCTGTCATTCACGCAGCTGGGTGGATCTCGACAGCATTGTCGGGATCCCTCCCCGCTGCTGCGGCCCCAGTACACCACAAGCTGTAGCTTGGGATATACTGAGCTTTGGGTCACAGGACGACGCTAGTATATGTCCCCCCGTGACCCTTAAGAGAACTATGGGGAAAAACACTTACCCTATAGTTCTCTTTTAAGGTCACTTTAATGAATAAATGGTACGAGAAAGATTCTCCAATTTTTTTTTTGTATCTTTTTTTTTTGTTTTTTACTCACAACTCCATGGCCCTGTTCCCAACATAACAAGAATCCCCAGATAATACTGGCGCGATCGTTAAAGGATTGCAAACAGGAACACAGGACCACCGCAAGGCGAAGCATGAGTACCGAGACCAGAAACCACCTGCTTCATGACAACTAGAGAAACTTCCAGGATTTAACTTATCCAGTATGAATCTCTCAGTTTTGATGACTAGCTGGAGAGACTCCCAGGATTTAATAATATCCGGTATGAATCAACTAGCAGCTCTTGGTAGTAGAATCTTCACTGAACAAAATAAACTAATAATGCAGAAGAGATGGAGACATCCATTCTCCGGAGGACACTAAACAAAACAGGCAGGTGGGATGGTTTATGTCCTTAAAGTGGCAGGTCTTTAATTTTGTTTTGCTTAGTGTCTATTTCTCCTGGAGGCAGCAGCATACCCTACATCTCAGAATTCTTCAGAGACCCTCAATGAACAATAGAGAATTAGGTTCTATGAAAAAGAGCTATATAGGTAAATCTTTCTTGTTCAGGAATATAAGGCCTTCCTGTTTATGCAGCCTGCTGTTTTACCTTAACATCATAGCCGTACGTCTCCCGGATGTCCTCGTCTGAATCAGTCTCCTCGTCATCGTACTCCAGGGGCAGCTGTGGAGATGAAGTCAAACTAGACATTCCTCGGCTGAAAGAGCCCTGTTGGAAAATGGGTAGGTGACCCTGAAGTGACAATATAAGATGTTAAAGCAAAGATGTATTACAAAGCGCCCTGTGTTAAAGTGACACTAAACTCAGGAGTTAAATATTAAAAATGCATTCAAGTACCTTAGCTATAAACAAAAATGTAGCTTATGTGTGCATCACTCAGCTGTATATCCTCAAATCATCTCTGAATTGGTGCTGACACTGTCCTTCCTTCTGGAGTGTGGCTACTTTTGTTCCCCATGGTCCCTGTTAGTTGTAAAGTAGCCACCGCTCCAAACTTACTCCCAGGAGGGACTACAATCTCATGTTTAGTTTACTAATTTGTATTGAGATTGTACTCAACTACTTTACAACCCACACAGGGACCATGGGGACCAAAAGTAGCCAACCTCCAGAAGGAAGGACAGTGTCAGGACCAATTCAGAGATGATTGGAGGATCTACAGCCGAGTGATACACAGATAAGATACATTTTTGTTCATAGTTAAGGCACTTGAATGCATTTTTAAGATTTAATTCCCTAGTTTAGTGTTATTTTAAACAAGGTTTTCAGCTGGCATTTCATAAACCAAAGTGCGATTCTATATCGACATGGGGGAGACATACCAAATTGTTGCACATACTGTATATTCTGTGCTTTCCGTATAGGACAGCTTTCAAATAAATTTGCAAAAGGTTAAAGCTAAGACTTCTGATTTTACTAATACACAAGTAGCCATGTTGTACTGTCATCTATCGACATGTCAACAAAAGCAGAAAGTCTGGAGTGACAACTTGTATCAGTCACCTAAAGTGTTGCAAGATGCAAGCTTTTAAAACATTACGTTGACCTAGCACCAGATATATCTTAAGGCCTCATTCACACTGCTAGGCATCGGCCCGTACAGATCCGTGCCCGGGCGTATCCGTGAAGGACAGGTGCTGCGTGTAATTGTACGCAGCAGCCTGTTCTTCTCTATGGGAGGACGCGGCCGTACGCTCACCCGAGCTGAACATCCGTGCGGGTGTCCGTACTCGTACGCAGACTGTCTGCGTCCGAGCAGGAACACCTGCATGCAGTTCGGGTGAGTGTACGGCGGCGTACTCCCATAGAGAAGAACAGGCTGCTGTGTCCGAGCACAGACACCCGCACGGATGTGCAGTTTGGGTGAGCGTACGGCTGCGTAAGTCCCCGTCCTCCCATAGGGAAGGACAGGCTGCTGCATACAATCATACGCAGCACCTGTCCTTCCCGGGAACGGCCCAATACGGCCGTGCATGCTGTACGGATCAGTACGGGCCAACTCTAAGCAGTGTGAATGAGGCCTAAACGCAGTATGCCAAGTAATGTGTCAGTGTAACACTTCCAGGTATTTATTACCTCTAACAGAGATCACAGTACTCCCCCTGACAATGCCTTCATCTACTCTCCAGCAGGACAGCACCATCTTTGTTCAGACACAGTTTGTAACCAGGCTCTTGGGAGTCAAGGCAACACTATTTTGCTGGCAAAGAAATCGATGTATGCATTTTTTTAATTTTACCTTGGCATATGCTTTAACTATACTTTGAAATAAATCACCAATGACACGTAGTGGCCATACAAGTGAAAAAAACAAGACTGAACAATAGGAATCGTCTACACCAGTCCACATGTTATGCACATGCGGTGGAAGGGAAGCTGTTAAAGCGCATTGCACAGTTTGCTTCTTTTTTTAAAAAAACTTTTTTTTAAACTTTATTGAAATGTCACTAAATGACATTTTATTTAACTCTATACAACACATTGTGTTGCACTGACATACAGCGCAGTGTGATGCAGTGCATACATGATACATTTTTATGTAGTGTACACCACTGCACATGTATGGTGGGAAGAGGGCACATGGTAAACAATTGTTATCCATGTGTCTTGCTTTGGGCCTGCAGAGATCCATACAGGGCAATGCAGCTCTACAAACAAGGTGTGAACGAGTCCAAATAGCAATAAATACAACAGTTATGCATACTATGCAGTGTAAACAGCAAGATCAGTGCTAACATGTCCTTAGGCACTCACCTGCAGGTCAGGGTTTGCTGCAGCTTTCTGGAGCTCTGCACTGATAATTTTCTCAGTTTTCTCCCTCGCTGCCTGTTCCACCATGCGCTGACTCAGCACAGACAGCTTGGCCAATGCGCATGACAGTTCCTCAGTGGCCAGCGCTTGCCGTGCCCGGTCCTGCCAGCTCATTGCTCGCTCCGTCAGGCACTGTAACGCCTCCCCCTCTGGCAGCCGCACTGGCAGCTTCTGTAAAGACACCAGTAGTGAGAGGATAGTCTCCAATCGTGGCCGCCGGGACCTCATACACTGCGTGCAGAGAAATTTAACGTCTTTTGATTGCCAGTTGGTGCCTTTTTTCTGGGAGGTGGTCTTGGGGAGAGGGACGCAAGTGCCATGAAACCAGTCCTTGCACAGTTCACACTGCAGCATGAAGCCGCTGGCAGCTTTGCGGCAAACGCAAAACCGCACCTCCTCGATACGGTCCACCATGGCCATCTTCGCCAGGTTAGCTGCCCGTATAGAACGCATGGAGTTCACCTCTTTGCACTCCATTTCCTTAAATACAGCGACCTGCACATAAGAGAAGAATATTACCACCAAGTTTAACCTGGGTCTAGACTAAAATCTAAAGTTTAGTTTACAATTTGTGTTGAAAATATAGTCTATCACAGGAGCGAGTTTGGAGCGGAGGCTACTTTACAACACACACAGGGACCAAGGGGAACAAAAGTAGCCACCCTCCAGAAGGAAGGACAGTGTCGGCACAAATTCAGAGATGATTTGAGGATCTACAGCCCAGTGATACACAAAAAAGATACATTTTTGTTAATAGTTCAGATACTTGAATGCATTTTTAAGATTTAACTCCTGAGTTTAGGGTCACTTTAACAATGCTTGCAAGGAAAGGGTTAATAGGCTCTGGCATTTGACAGGTGGCACCAGGAAAGGGCAGGACTTAATTGTGACTTGGGCCTAAGATCCAAGCGAGCTCCACCAGACCACATGGATTAATTTGTAGACTAGCACAAGCAGTTGTAAGCTACCCCAAGGTGAAGCACGTCAGTACTGTTGCAAGCTTAGAAAGGTTTTGGGCTTGGTCAGATCCACTTTAATGTGTTCTTATTATTTTAAACCACAAACATACCATATTCTTGGACTTGCATAATACCACTTATCTCAAAGTCTTTAAAACGTGACAAATTTCCTTACCACAGAGGCTGTGTCCCGGTGCTCATCCAGAGGCTCCTCAAGTTCACTCAAAGAATCCAAATCCAAATCCTTCTCTTCCAAGAGCTCTTTCACTTTCCTCCGTTTAGCCCGGCCACTTCCGTAAACACCAATATCGCTCCGAGGGCTTAGCACCTGCATGCATTAGAGAAAAAGAGGTCATCACAGGTCTGCCATTGTGAAGTTGAACAGTTATGGAGGACAATCATGGATAGAACACAAAATAACACAGTTGACAGAGTGACCTTAAAATAGCCGAGGTTCTTCCTGCTGTCAGGTGACTACAAGAAAACATGGCCATTAAAATGCAACATCCTTGTCACCTCTCCACCCACTAGGATCCTCACAGAAGCAGTTATGTGGGGATGCAGCTTCCTCCAGGATGTCACCATTGATCTGGACCCACTCTAGCTGCAATATCCATATAAAAGTGAAACAGCCAAAGATTTTCTTCCACCTGTCTTATTATTTTATTTCATAAACAGGCCACAAAGAGAACACCAGTTCTCCCAAAAAAATAGGATTTGGTTCTTACCACAAAATCCTTTTCTCTGTCGTCCATTGAGGGACACAGCTCTGAATACTGAAAACGTAGGGTTATGCCGTTGCCTTCGTCTCATAATGCTTCAGAGCTGTGTCCCTCAATGGACGACAGAGAAATTGATTCTTTTTTTTTTTTGCTTATACACCAGAGTTAAAACCATAGCAGCGGCACAGATGTTTCGAATAACAAAAATATTAGAAAGAGAATTAGTGTAGATCCTTCTATTAGGGTAGCATGGATGTGAAAGGGGGAGCTTTCCTTCACTGCACTATCCTTTGTTGCCCTTAAAGCCCAATTTAAGCTTTTCAATAAAAAGTCATTAAAATCAATAAATCAACTCAGGGTGCAGCCATGAGTCTCTGGTTGTTTTACTTGTTTTGTTGAGCTGGAGCTGCTTTAGGATGAAGTAAGCCCGTTTCCCGCCAGTAGACTGCAGAAGGACTGCGGTTCTCTTTGTGTGACACCAGTATGACAATGAGAGCTTTTCAACATGCAAAGGTCGCACTCCATTCTGTATGGAGATCTCTAGTTCTGACTCATCAGGAAGCATTTCACACTGCCACAGAGAAGTTGCTGCTTACTCACAGGCACCAGCAGTCTTCTCTGGAGCAGGAAGGCAGGGGACAGGCTGATTTTTTTATTAAAGTGGCACTATTTTGATGAAAATAAAGTAAATGCTTAAAGGAGAACTTTGGGGTCAGGGCTTTGCCCCATAGTTCTCCTGAGGGTCACAGGAGAACACAAACTAGCGTTCTCCCGTGACCCAAAGCTCAGTATACCGCGTATACTGAGACGCCGCAGCTAGGACGGATCCCGACAACACTGTCAGGATCCACCCAGCTGCGGGATTGACAACTGGCTCTGCCTATCCAGAGGCAGAGCCAGCTGTGCCCGCCCCCTCCTCCGTCCGTTTAGCCAGACAGCGCTGGAGGATCGGACAGGGGAGGGGGGGAATCCCTGCAGGGAGCTGTGAGTGACAGTCACGGCTCTCTGCGGGGATAGATCGAGAAGTGAGCGAGCGACGGTATGTGTTCGCTCACTTCCCGATCTACTGAGCCGACCTGTGACAGTTTCATTGTCACCGGTCGGCTCAGATTATGAGGCTGAGTGAAATTCACTCACCTCATAATTCTCCTTTAACAATTAATTCTCTAGCTGCACCCAAGTGTGTTTACTGACTTTTAACAGAAGCTTTGGTTTGGCCTTAAGTGAAGGAGAAAATCTTAAATCATAGCTGGGAAACAATCGCAGGGTTATTTACACAGACCAAACTATTAACAATTCTCTTAATTGTTTGTGGTCAGCTTTCCAGTGACACAGTCGGCAGAAACTGGTGGTAAAGGAAAGAGTGGCATCATAGGAAAGAACATACAGGGGTAAATATGCAACTTAATAACAGATAACGAATACCATCTTACCTGCAGTAATGTGTAGCTCGAATTCTTCTTTAGGAAGGTCCTGCCTGTGCGCTCCCGCCAGGCTCGAGCAGCAGCTACCTGAGACTCGAGCTGTGGGAGGGCTTCGAGACGCACTGGGATTGGGCGAGCTTTGCTAAGGAAGCTCTCCAGCTGCTCCATGTAGGCGTATTGACTACCATTCTGCAGAGACAGAATAAGCAAAACTTGCATATTTTGTATATCTTGCAGAGAGAGGATGGCATTGTGAGCTGCATGCACTATGGAGAATGGCAGTGTGACAAAATTGGGATTCAGAGATGTCCCTACCTGTATGGACTCGACTTTTGCAGTCCAGTCCTTGGCTCTCTGTAAAGCCTCTTTCAGTGCCAGAACGTTGGGAAGATAGGCCTGGATGCTCTTGGCCTCGACGATAATGCTTTCCAGACTGGAGACAGTGTGTTGTGGCCTGGGGTGAGAGAAACAAGAGTCTCAGTAACATGGGACAAACAAGCATAGCCAAAAAACATGTATACTTTATCATTCTAAAGATTAAATAGCATCCAATGACCTAACAGTCATCCAGTAGTGGCACCTGACCTCCTAAGATGACAGTGACTGGTGCTTGGAGAAAAATGAATGTGAGGCGGGGAATAAGCCCAATCGGTCATGCTGTTCCCATAATGAATAGTCAGAGAAGCAAGTTTTAAACTGTCAGCACCACCCCAAACAACAATGTGCTCTAAAATATGCTGTGCGCTCTGCTGGCTTCAGGAAACCAACAGATAGCAACAGAAGGGAACAACAGTTCTGTAAAATAAATAAAAGCTGGGAGTAGAGCTTGGTCATTTGACCAAATATAGGATCAATCAAAGTCCCACTCCTAATGTCTATGAATGTTTGTATAACTGTACTTTTTTATGAAACAAAACAATAAAAATATATTAAACAAAAAAAAAATCAAAGTCCCACTCCCATTCCTACTCTCCTCCAATCATGGAGCTTTCTCTGCTCCACTTATTGAGAGAACTTTGTGGGGCTTCGCCAGCTACACATTGCAAACCAATTTTTAAGAATGACATGGGCTATTGTGTGCGCGCATAGCACATCTGTGCATAATGGAGTGGCTCTCTCTTATAAATGAGCCCCTAAGATACAACGGGTCAGTCAGAGCCTCATACTGGTCCATTGGGGAGAAGATGACATTCCCATTGTCAGTCTTCCTCTAAGGCAAACAGCGTGCTTCCACTTTATCTAATGAGCAGCAAGAGAAAACGCCTTTGCTCACCTGGCCTGCAGACATGCTTTGGCCTTCTCCTCCCACCTCTCGGACACTGTCAGCAGTTCCTGAAGCTCGCCCATTGCTTTCTCCACAGCATGATGAGGAGCCAAACCGACACCAGAGTCTATCAGCTTCTTCATCACGTCCAAGGTGACTTTGTGTGGGTCAGACAGAGTCTGACGGACTTCATCTAACCAGCGTGCCTGCAGCAGCTCCTGCTTCAATCGAGGTAACTCTGGGAGTTCCACATACAGGTTGGATCCCAAATCAATAAGAGCCTGCAGCTTGCTGGAATCCGGAACTTCATCCAACATAGCTTCCTGCGCACGCTCATGAAACTCCTCCACATCATCCAGTAGATTCTGTACAACAGATAGCAAGGCTTTTGTTAAAACAGTCATCAGAATTGGTCAAGCACTGGCCACGTATTAGTATCTTTTTTACGCGTAAGAGCTCATTTAAATTTTTGCGGTGCAGTATTTTGCATGTTAACGCAATGCACATGCGTTGCATTGCAAATTTGTCACACACCTGATTTTAAGGACGTTGTAGTGTGTTGGCACACTGTTATTTTCAATTGGCTGCCTTAAACATACATTAAAGCATGACTTATAGCGCATTAACGCACCGCAAAAATGTAAATCGGTTTCATTATTGGTGAGGTTAAAGGATAATTTGTACCCAAATATCTAGCCTGACATTTAATCCCCCAAAAGCCTAATCTTAACCCATTACTTAACCCCCAATACTAAATAAAAAAACAAAAACCGACTTTTACTATATTGGGTACAAAACTGCCAGTGCTGAAGGCTTCCTGTCCTTCGATGAGAGCTCAGAGTAAGGAAACCGTGGCTTTGCCCTTGAGACTCCAATGTCTCTGCACCTGACTTCTCCACTCTGCCTACTTTCCACAACCATAATGTACCCATTCTAAGCTTTAGATTTTCTTTATTTCACATTCCAATCCATAAAATAAAAACAATGGCATTCTACACATGGTCATCATTGCATGGGCTCACCTTGACCTGACGGGCCTGTGTGATGATGCAGGGCAGGCTGAACAGCTGGTGGACGAAGGCTTTCAGCTCTTCCATGGTGAGCTTAGTACGAGCCTTCCCGGAGTCCTGACTCAGCTTACTGTACAAACAAGGTGATAACATTTTTCTGAACAAAAATCATAGACATAGATACTAAATATATTCAAGCCATGAAAACCCTGCAGACAAAATCAACCCATTAAATACATAAATCCAATACATAAACCTGCAAATTGATTCCTAGTTAGTTTCCAGTTTAAAGGAGATCCCAATCAAATATCTATGGAAAGAACAAGTCTACTGTTTGAATTACACTAAGCCTTTGCCATCTTAACTGAGTTATGGTCAACCCTGCTGTTAGCTTAGTGCTTCCGATTAATCTGTTCTCCATTATAAATACCTGCTATTTTATGAATGTCACTAGATGCTGTAAATGGAAGACTGGAATGCACCCGTTTCAGCAACTAATCCCAATTATAAGAGAACAGGGACAGGAAGAAGAGAGCGCACAAACTGTACGCACTGAGCAAGCAGTACAGGCGAGCTCTGGTCCCAGTTTTTGGAGAGCTATATCTGGGACTCTGACTTAACACACACACACCACCTACTAGCTGGAAAATGTATCAAAACCTATTCATTGAGTCCTTGGTTAAGACAGAATGCTGTCAGTCAATTAACAGTCGTTGCCAACAAAGCAGAATTACAAATAGGTTTTCTTTTGCAACAGAGTCTATTTAAACTCTGGAAGCTGTGCCTGAAAAAGTCAGATAGTATGCAAAGGACTAATCACCAGTGTTTTATGTGGTCTCCTTGCAGCTGATCTTTCCCCATTACTGTCTTACTATGCCTTGTTCTGCACTGTGTTAACCTGCATTTAGGTGAACAGTTTAACCTAGTTTTAGACAAAATAAAATTGTATGCTTCCAGGGTCAGATTAGATAATCCGAATACTTCTATACATCTGTAAACGCAAGTAAACACGCGTAAACTCAGATAAATGCAAATACATCTAAATGAAGGAGAACTTGATCTGGGAAGCATAAAGTTTTTTTTACTTCCCAGATCATTTCTCTTGTGTTACATAACCTAAACCCAGGAGTGCTTGTGTGAATATAGCAGTCAGAGGTAGCAGTGTGATCTTACACTGCAGATATACTGTAGGAACAGGAGTACCTAGGCACCCTCACATACCCGGAAATTAACTGTTTTTTTTCAGCAGGAACTCCAGACAAAGGGTTCATCTTTTTGGGTACTACTTAGGCACAATTAAGATTTTTAAATGTGTCCTATAACATAGTAAATCTTCATTTTTTGAGTATAGGTCCCCTTATAACTAACTGCCCAGCAACCACAAAAACTACAATGTGACATGAAGAGTTCCAGTCTTTTTTTTCTAGTTTTGGGTCAAGTGGGTCAAGTTTTAACAGTTACCCATCACCCACAGAGGACTTTAAAAAAGGCCAGTTTAACAATACATCTAACATACAATAAAATATGCTCACTTGTGTTTCTGTTTCTTGGTGAGCAACAGCTGAGCGACAGAAGCACAGGTTTCCGCCTCCTTTACAGCATCTCTGAGCCGCCGGTAAAGTTCGTTCTCAGGGAACTTCCGGTCCTCGGCATCCTCCAACATCACCTTCAGTTCTATGATGTCTGCAAAGGAAGCAGGAGAAATTAGTAGATTTGTATGACACAGCAAATAACATTGTTCGAGGTCTACACCAAGTCTCTACAGTGTGAAGTAGAGGTGGAGAAAAAATCAAGAAAATATATACAAAAGTACAAGTGTCCATAAAAGCATATGTGGGAATCAGGCCACAAAAGGCAAAGGCATCCCGAGGAGGGACTTCCTGAAGCCTCTACTGTTTTTTTCTCTCACATTTCTCAGTATCATAAATTACAATGACACTTCCAAGACAGGTTTCTAAACCCAAACAAAAGCTTTTCAACATTGCATCCTACCAGTTCTTAGCTGTAGTCCCTGCATTAGTTTTCTTTGTTCAGGGTTTCTGTTTTCACCTGGTGATTCTGCCAATAACACACTTCCTGTCATAGGGCAACAAATGTCACTCACTTTACTGTATCTATTAAGGAGCAATGCTGTCACATTAGGACAAGAAGTTTTAGGACTACAGAACATCTTCACCTCTCAATGAGATATCATTAGGGTTTACATACACGTTAATATGTGCATTTATGTATATGACAGCAAAGAGCCTACAGTGGATGTGTTTGAGAATTTCCCACCTACATTACAAACAGGGGTTCCTAGATCCCCAGATAATCAAATAAAAGGCAGTGGCATTGACTACAGCTACAGCATACCTGGATGAAAAAGTGAAGTACTGACAAAGCATGTGTTTCCTATAGCTGTCTCAATTTCTTTTTTACTGGAGTGTACCTTTAGAGAGACTGTGTACTCACCTCTCTCACTGCCCGAGCTGCACACAGCCGCTGTAATAAACAGAACCCACCACCAGAAGACTCTTGAGAATCTAACTCTTTGGGGGAAATACATTTTCTGGTCCCCTGCTGCACTCATTGGTTTGATCCTTGAGCCCCTATTATGTTCTGCAGTGATGCAGGGGCAGGTGGAAAAAAGCACATAAATGCAGTAGGGGAGCTAGATTTTTTTTTCAAATATTTTAACGAGAGTCAATTTACAATTCTAATACAAATGGATTATCCTTGCAGATGAGCAATTTCAACCTAATAACAGGAACAAACCTTCCTCTACACACAGACGCACCTTTTTTGTGACTAAGGCTGGCAGTCAGCGATTCCGTTACCCGACTGACCCATGTATCATAGGACTGCGCCCGTGACTTAACACCGTATAGCAAGGCCGGGAAATCTTCCAGGGAGTAGCGGTACCTAGAAGCAGAAAGTACAGTGCGGCAATTAAAAAAGCGGCAAACTCCCAAATACAGCCGGCGGTCCTAAAACATAGACTAAGTGTACTTCTATCCAAAACTCCTTGCTAATTTTCTTCTTGTGTGAGTGTGCGTGATGAAGCAGTGTTGAATTTATTGCGATTCTCTACTTCTGTACAGAATCCACCTAAAAAGACTGTCACTCTGTCTATTCAGTGCAAAGTGACAATCTCTTTAAATCCCACCACCACCCACTTACACTGCTGCACTTCTCCAATCTTTTGCTCTGTCAAAGCAAAATAGCTGGCGCTTCAAACTGTGAGGGAGTGACATCATCAAACTTGTGTAAGCTCCAAGTCAGACTTTACATAGTGTTGATGATACAACTCATTTTCTTACCAGGTGACTGGGCGCTCAGACCGGGGCACTGCAGCATGGGAGAAGGTCAAATACGTATCTGCAGTGGCTCTGAAGGAAGGCAAGAATAAGTGGGTAGGGGTTTGTCTTTAAAGAGCCTATTTACCGGCTAATGACATCATCACTATGACACGAGCAGTCCCTTCATGGGAAAATATGAAGAAAAGTATGATTTTAGGACTGCATGGCTGTAACAGCAGTTAATGTATGTTGCAAAGGCTTAGTTATTCTTAAAAAACTTTCATGCTAGCCGCACATTCAGTTTGTAGTTTTGGTTCGGGCTATTCTTCAGGCTGCATCTCTACCCTGTGTGTAGTTTGCGATGTGTTTTAAAGACGTTACAATTTATGAACGTCATCCTTACCTTCAGTCTTGTCAGATCGGTCAGTTGTACGGGCTCTTCTCCAGAATTGAAATTGCTTAAGGTGACCATACACTGTGTGAATTTGAACCAGTTCTTGAGGAACCCATTTGGCCGCATTCCTTCGATCAGTTGATCGAAGATTTTTCAACTGGCATCTTTGAACGAACATAGCCGGCAGCCAATGAGCTGTCGGCTCTGTTCGGGTATTCTGATGCAATGGAAAAGAAACAATCGGGGATTCCTTGATCAACACGCTCGTAGTGTTGATGGAGGTATCTGCTTTATTTTTTTAGTTCAGCCCAGGGGTTGAACTAAATAAAATAGAGCCGTGTATGGCTGGCTTTACTCTGATTTCACTGCACACTGTGTATTAGAAGCTGCAGCAACTCAATAAGAGCCCATCTAATTTCCTGGTTGGAGAACTACAAGCATCATTTAAGCCTATCCCTCCCCAGCCTGGCTGTCCCTTGCCCACCCCTTCATTGGATTTCATTTCTTTCAGTCATGGGGTGTGTTACCTAGAGGGGTCTGCATAGAAATACAGCCTGCCTAGGAATGTCCACTCCTCCAAACTAACATCTACTCATCAAGGCATTTTGATATATGCATAACCCCTAATGCAACAGGGCTGAGAGCTCTTATGGGTACTGAGGCAGGGTGCTGTAATCTTTTCTGAATGCTATGTACAGCACCCTGCCAGCCCTTACCATCAGCCATGACAGGGGTGTGGAATTCCTATCGCCCGACGCCCGGGACATGCAGTTTCGGGCGCCGGGCGAGTAGTTTTAAAGTACATTCAGCCCGGCTCCGGGCTGAATGTACTTTAAAACATGTACATTGCAGAGCTGAATGTACATTGTGGAGCCGCCGCCGCTCGTTTAATACAAGTGGTCTGATCAGACCACTTGTATTAATTTGAGCAGCGGCGATCGTTTCTGCCCGCACCCCCCGCCGTAGTTTTCGGGGTCGCCCGCTCTCCTGGGGGACCCCGAAAACTAAGGCACAACGGCTCAGCCATAGAGCCCCAGTGAGCAGACGAAAAACGTCTGCTCTACGGGCTCTCTGTGTGTTCTCTGAGACCGTGGCGCTGTAATCACAGCGCCACCTGTCTCGGCTGTCAGGCACTACACAGAACAGCTGTTCTGTGTTGGAGGGCAGGTTCCATAAAGAGAACCTGTCACCTCCAAACTATCACATAAGGGATTTTAATCTCCTATGTAATAGGAAGAACATTAAAAGGGAAAAAGTAAATAAATAAAAAGTTAAAGAAAATTTAAAAAGTAAAAAAATAAAATATATAAAGATTTAAAAAATGAAAAAGTAAAAAATAAAAATGAAAAAAGTAAAAAATAAAACCCTGCTGCCCCCGCCATCTGCATGCAAATAAACGCATGCGTAGGACATTCTGCATGTGCTTTGAGATTGCAGCTGCCATTCCATGGTGGTAGCCAGAATTCTCTTACACACACATAATGTGCATTAAAGGGTAAGTTCATTTTCCCAGGTAATATGGAAAAATAAA